ATAAGAAGGTAAATATCGAAGCCAATGGTTCTCGAACATCTGTAACATACAAGGGATTAGTAACAAGAGAGGGGACACAACAATATGCACAGTAAATATATTGATGGTTGTCGAATGCCTGCAACAAACAAATGGGTTAGTAACAAGAGAAAGGACGAGTACGAGACGCGCGACCACCCTTCGCGACGGCTCACGAGAAAGTGAGGAAGCTAACGCCGTTATGTATTGGGTGTACGCAGGTTTGTTCCTGTTGAATTGTTTTTGCCGGCTTGAACGACCTTCCTCCTTGAACGACCCAAACACCAGATGGTACGACCAGGTACGCAACGTCACTAGCGCGTTGGACCGACGGAGAGTACCGATACCGCCGCACGCTCTACCGTACTCTCTCGCTCGCACACCTCCCCCCATAGACCTGCGAAATTCCTCGGCACCAACGGAGAGCACCGATATCGCGGCTCGCTCTACCGCTCTCTCTTGCACGCCGTGACGTCACACGATTCCCGGAATCCCGCGGCCTCGAGATAGCTCACTACGGTAAGGCATTCCTACAAGGGAAATTGTAAGCCGCCGTCCAAAAGGTAGATTTGATAAACTATTTATGAAACTACATCTATTCTGAATTTATCTGTTACAAATATACAAATGAAAGGCAAGATATAAAAACGAATAAAACAAGAACATGTAATATGTAACATTAATAAAATGCCATTAACGATACATTTAGAATAAATTGTCTTGTAGTTAAGTGAAAAAATATATACTTTTCCATTTCTCATAACGCAGAGGGCAGCAAAAAATCTCTGATTTTTTACACGATCGGTATTTCAGAACATGTGACACGAATTCCCATAAGATGTTAGGTCTATTTTATGTTTCGTCTGTGGTAAAATCGCAGGTGTTTAAAGTTTTTGACATTGGTGTGATTTGTTAAAAAGGTTTTCACTTTGTTTTACGTATTCAATAACGATTAATGCTTAAATTGTATTTTTATTATAAAAGAGGGTCAATAGTTATTAATTATGGAGAAATTGCATTTGCCATCGGATAAAATTTTAAAACAGGCTATCACAGAGATTAAAGAGCCAGTATTATTTCAAGGAATGTTACAAGATGCAACAGGTGCATACACTTGGAAATTATTGGAATGGGATTTACCCAAACTCACCGAAATGTTTGGCAATGTTAAGCTACCGTTTCGTGTTGGTTATAATACCAAAACTATAGTAATTATTAATCTTTTTTACATGTATCTTTGTTCTTGTTGTGCATAACGCAAATATTAACATGATAAGTTTCAGATTTGATCTTTCAGGGTCCCCAATGGGAGGTGAATTGCCTTATGACTTCTATGACATTGTCAGAGTTATTAAAAAACATTGACCATGATCAGCAGATTAAAAAGTGGTATTATTTTGATTATAAACACATGCAAGAATGGTTCCAAGATAAACCACAGATCATTGATTCAGTGAATTGGAAGAGATTTGGTTTTGAGAAAACAGGGTCTGATTCTACTCTTTGGATAGGAAGCAAAGGTGCTCATACAAATTGTCATCAGGATTCTTATGGTTGTAACTTAGTGGCACAAATTCATGGAAGGTTAGTTGTTTCTACTTTTATTTATGCACTGAAATATTTGATTATTCTTGTTAATTAAATAACTGTTTTAGAAAGCAATGGTTGTTGTTTCCCCCAAGCTCAAGCAATTGTCTTCAGCCAACAAGGGTTCCTTATGAGGAGTCCACAGTATATAGTAAATATAACTTTTTTTGTCCAACTAAAGAAGATGAGATAAACATATTAAAAATACAAGATAATGCAAGGTTAATAACCCTTGAGGCAGGGGATGTTTTGTTTGTACCTCATGGCTGGTGGCATTATGTTGAATCATTGGAATTTTCTGTCAGTGTGAATGTCTGGTTACCAATAATAACAGACAATGTGTCAAGGGTTAAAGAAGCTATTGTTAAATTAATTGTAGCTAGAATTGGTAAAAATGTCCAAACATCAGAAGAAACTCATTGCTCTTTATCTTATTGCATGCAATTGGTAATATCTGACAAAGTACATACAAATTTAATAAACACTGGAGACTTTATATGTATTAATTGAAGTTTATTTAATAGCTGAGTATGGCTCTTGAAGAGTGTCAAAATATGGAAAATGCAGAGACATCTCATAAGACAATGCAACATAATGCATGGACAGCAGAAGTTTTAGCAGCACAGTATCCACATTATGTGAAGCTCCTTCGGGAACTCAAAGCACCAGAACTAGAGGAATTTTTAAGAATCAGAAGGGAAAGATTTCTTGAAAGCAGTGTTGAGTCATTGGCAGATACTACTTCTGACTCTGATAGTAACATTAAAAATTTTTCAGCAATTCAAAAATTATCTGAAAACATTGTAAATGCTATTTGTCAGCCTGATGTTATTAATAAAGTGGCTGATTTGCTCTTATCCTTATAAATTTATACATGTAGTTATTTAAATTATATATTAATCAAAATATTCTTTAATACCCTAATTCTTTATGCACATTAATGGATGTTAATTACAATTGTCGTTATTTACTCAATTGTCCCTATTCAGGTTTTTTCACTGTAAGCATTTGAATTTCAATTACAATTATATTCAGTGTTTTTTGCACAACGTCATTGTTGACTGACATAGGTTAACTTCGTTTGACAAGTCGGGACTCAGGAGTGTTTCTGGTCTAATCGTCGTGTGTTGTGTATACAGAATTAAAATCATTAGCCTTTTTCATGTAAATTACGATGGGTTTGTTGACTGTACTCAAAAAGTTGAAGCAAAAGGAAAAGGAAATGCGTATTTTAATGCTGTACGTACCTGGTGTATAATATTTTCTAATAGTTTTTAGGTTAGCAAAGCGTTTGCTGTCACTTTCGTTGAAACAGCTTGTCTTTTAGTAAAAGTATAATTTCTACGCTAACCCGTTGTTGATAATATTTGTAGAATTTGTATTTGGAATCTAATAAATAGTATTTTATATATAATTATTGAATGTGTACTAAATTTTATAAATATATTTACAGAGGTTTGGACAATGCTGGTAAAACAACAGTGTTAAAAAGAATCAATGGAGAACCGATAGACACAATATCACCAACCCTTGGCTTCAACATCAAGACTTTGGAGCACCGTGGATATAAACTTAATATATGGGATGTAGGAGGTCAGAAATCGTTGCGTTCTTATTGGAGGAATTATTTTGAGTCCACAGATGGATTAGTGTGGGTAATCGACAGTGCAGACAGAAGAAGATTAGAGGATTGTAAAACAGAGTTATACAAACTGTTACAAGAAGAAAGATTGGAGGGTGCTAGTCTTTTAATACTTGCAAATAAACAAGACTTGCCTGGAGCATTGTCTGCAGCGGATATTGCAGAAATTTTGGAATTGCCTAATATTAAAACACATCACTGGCAAATATTTAAATGTTCAGCAGTCACTGGAGAAAATCTTGTGGAAGGAATAAATTGGATTGTGGATGATATTTCTGCAAGAATATTTTATATAGACTAACACTAAAAAGTGATTCAAAATGTAAAATCAACACTGCTAGTATTGTATTTTTCTACTTTATTTATTTCCCTTTTGCTGACAAGAGAAACTGCGATTATTGTTTTTTTACTTAAGAAATTATTGTTACAGCGTTAGAAGAGCATAATAAATTCATAATTTTTCTTACTATCTTAATGTAATTCAGATAATCAATTTCTCTCTGCTTATGTGTTCAATTTTATTTTTCGTTTTTCCCCTTTATCTTTACCACTTTTTTCTTTTTCAATCTACTTCCTTCAGGTCTCTTTCCTTTCTTCTTTTTAGGCATTATTGGTGGAAGTTCTGTATCTGGATATTGATTCATATAAACTGACTTCAGTAGTTCTATATTCACAGTATTCTTTGGTCCAGCAAACGCATTTGCGATAGCTTGTATTAATGTTTCAGAGAGTTTCAGCTTAAAACTTTTCACGAGTTTCACGAAATTCTCTGAAAAGTCAAATTTTCCATATAAATTAGGCAGTCATTATCAGAAGGCTGTACCCTGAAGGCTATTCCCTGAGTTACGCAAGACATCGCTATCCTAGAAAATCAAAATACTGTTTCGGGAACTAAGTTTTACGTATGTACGTTTAGATACAGGATTCTCCTCCAAAGAAAGCACAAAATGGCCGAAATTCCTGCGCTGTCGTTTCTTTTTCGGTCTCATCGCCTCGAAGTTCGCCCTCTTAAAAAGTAACACTGGTACATTCGGTTCCCCGATCGTGTAATTACTGAGTATTCCGCCTAGTTTAACCTTCAGCCACGGTCTGTTATCTTCGATGGCTTGTAGTTCAGGTAACACGTTTTTCTCCGCCCAAACGTTCGTAAGATCCAATAGTCGTAATTCACTCTCGGGCGAAATTTGCGGTGTGACTGCTCGGACTAATTCAAGTGCACCCTCTGCTCTCAATGGATTGTTACCTAAATACAACTCTTCCAGTACTTTGTTCTTCGACAGACCTTTAGCTATGATCGCTGCGTCTTCAGCGTAAAATCTGTTACCTTAAAGATGATCACGTGGAAATTTAAAGTCTAAATAATAACATCCGACAAACGATATAATACCGGTCAGATTTAGCTTCTTCAAGGGTGGGGAACGGCTCAACAATATCCGAAGATAGTTCACGCATTCGCGGCCCAACGCGTTCCAGGACAGATCAAGGTCAACCAAGATCTCGTTCAACTCGATCGCTTTACCGAATTTCTTCCAAACTTCAGCGGTGTACAAGGAGTTCCAGGACAATTCCAAACGTTCCAATGTATCGCTAGACACGACCAGCTGTTGCAGATAGTCGACACAGGACTCGTCCAAGTGGTTGTCGTTCAGAGACAGATGCTGCAGGCTATGACTATTGCGAACGGCTGATTTTACGTATTCCATACCTTCGGTGCCAATGTTACAATCGGAGAGGTCCAACGTGGTCAACGTCGGGCTGTCTGCAATCCCGTCCTGGAGTCTCCAGGCGCCCTTCGGACCTATCCGACAGCCTGCTAGCAACAGTGTGTGAATTACGCTGTTCCTTTGAAGCAATTCTCCGAGATGGTAGCAAGCGTCTTCTGACAGCCAGTTCTCCTGAAATATGAATGAATGAATGCTGGATTAAAATTCTCCAAGACTTTTCTATGGGAACGTAAGCGGCCGCTATCACAGCGACGTCTATTTCACAATAACATAGGAAACCCGCGATACCGTCAAGTTAATTTTCTCCACCGTAGTATTAGCCTTCAGGGCTGCGCAGAGCGGTCTAACGACCCGTGGATTAATTCCATAATATTGCAGACCGATCGTGTCCGACAGCAACATATTCTTCAGTGCTTTTATAGGTTGAATTTTGACCTCCTTGGTCAGATGGAGGAAAAGGTCCACTCCGTCCCCTGGGTACATTTCTTGATTATCGCGGGTGATCCAGAAGGCGGGTATTATACCAGGATCCTCTGGTACCGGAAACGTGGTGTAACGATTTCGCAGTTTCAACTGGGAGTCGCTGATGTCGATGTCCTTGAGACAATGACGGACAGAGGCCATCGAGGATGCCTCGCTACCAATGTCGAGCTCATCTTCCGGCGTGATCAAGGTCTCCTCGGAGCCGACGGTTTTTTTCTTCGCCTAGAAGTGCAACATCGATCATGAAGAGGAATTCTTCGATAAAACGCATTACGCTCCTTGGAACACTACGGTGTCCAAAATAAAATTACACCAATTAGCTGACGTAGCTTCTGCTTGGTCGCCTCGGCCTTCGCCGCGATTCTCTCGGCTCTTTTGTCGGAAATTTTCAGGACCAGGTCCGCGAATATGTCGATCAGCTGTGTTGCTTTGAGCCTTTCTCGTTCGTCCTCTACTTCTTCGTGAAACTCTGCACCATCTGCTTCGTATTCCACACACTCGGCTTCGTCCTCGTAACCGTAACACGCCGGCCATATTGTGCAGTCAGAGCAGTCTGATACTTCGGTAACAGCGTCCTCTTCCACGTTCTGAAGAATAATTCGAATGAATAACCGAGGCTTGAGAGGAGTTTGTAATGTCACCTGTCTATGGGTATCCATTCTCGTGTCCCATGCAAACAATTTCCTGTTGCTTCTTTAGCTACCCATTATAAACTGACACTTTTATATATTACCTATGAATATATTCGTTAATATAATTTAATCAATGGAAGAACTTCCTGTATAGCCTTCCTTTCAAGTAACCTATAAATTCCTCGGCCGGAAGGCATTGAATCGGCACAAAGTGCCCATGACAAACGCCGGCTGCAAGTTTTCCGAAAAATTAACTACAGTCTGGATTCTATTCAAAAACATTCAGGATTCTTCAAACATCATTTTAATTAAACTGTCCCAGAAGAATACTTTTAGAATGTAATAAAAACAGAAAACCTAAGTGATCCCGTAAATCTTCAATTCTACGTGTCAATAATTGCTGTAAAGGTCTCCATACTTCAGAAACAACTCGATATACACTCGAAGGACACTTATCGAATATGCAGTAAATATTATCACAGGCATTACGAAATTGCTAAAAGTCTGAAATAAATATCGATCAATGGACAAGGCATGTTATTACTACGAAGTAATAAATTTAGCCTAAAATATACAATTTTTACCAAAACATTTTCATCGTACAGACCAACTGTCCACATACTTAGTCCAGCTCCATCGGGGAGACTTTTTTTCACCGAGAATGAGTTATCTTCCGGTGAAACTCGTCATGTATCTTCCCCACGTCGTCGTTGTGGCCGGCATCCGTAACCTTGGTCCCAAGCGCACTCGAGAGTCGTATCCCCATTTACGCGACGGCGGACTTGGAACACGCGCGCGGTTCACACGGGCCTTATTCGGCGACCGTCAGGGCTGACTCATTTACCGGGTATTCGTCAAGTGGCTCTTCTGGGCCATTGTATTGTAATTTCGACAGATCGGTTCATTCAACGCGGTAACGCGGGCGTATACGCGGCCCGGTGCGCGCCTCTGGTCAAGGATCCGTCCCGATGCCCACCGTTGTCTCGACCAACGAAATTGACCGTCCCACCGTGGGGCCCCCTTTGTTAATCGCAGACGCGGTTTCGATGATAATGAACCAGCATTATCCCTCAATGAAACGATCTATTGAAATCAGCGAGGCGCGGCGCGCGTCGACGAAATCCGGATCCGTGGTGTGCCACGAGGTTGTTCACCGGCTTCCTCGGACTATTTTACACGGACCTATTACAGTGGAGATGTCAACGTACTTTGAAGAAACGAACCGAGTCCAGCTTATTTAGCTTAACCCTTTTGGACCTGAATTTTCTTTTAAGAGAAAAGTAGATATTTCATTACACATTTTAACTCAGTTGACTGTTTAGATTAATTACATAATATGTCTACAATATAATTTAGCATGATGGAGTATAGTGGATTCTCGATAACTTTCCGCAGTGGTCTATTCCCCTTCGCGCGTACTTTTACTAAACTACGCTCATGTCTCCACCAAAATTGTCATTTTTACGATTTTGGTAGTTCTAGTGTTCAGCAGACGGAACGTCTAGATTCTAGACTTTAGAACGTCTGGAACGGCTTACATACGTTTATCCTTATTCTGTTGAAGTGATGCAAATCTCTTCAAGCTATCTAAAGTCGTAGGATTAAAGTCTCACCGAGCAATCGAAATGAAGGCCTGACGTCGTATTGCGGTTGCTCCTGGCGGAAGGCACGTTTTATCAAAATAGATTCTTCCTGGGTGATTTGAATGCAACCGACGAGGGCGTTGCGGGGTAGAGCTCAATTTAAAGAAATTCGTTTGTGGGTGTTACGCGGGGGGTTCAGTGAAAATCGAGACGGTCTCGAAGGGTTGTACTTTTTATTGAAACTTTTTCAATCTTCGTTTACCTTAGGCGAGAAGAACCGGGGGATTTGAAGGAGCTTATTTATTTACACGCACACACTCACTCGGTACACACTTCCTTCGGTATCGGACACGGGGCTGATCACATCCATTTAGATTATCCATTAGCTATCTACCGTGGGACCCGGGGACACTAGTTCCTCGGTTGCGAGATACAAATGTACTTCTGTTTCTTTTTTTATCTTTTCGCGATATCGATCCAGAGACCGATTACTATTCGGTGGAAGAGGAACGTTCGAAGAACCATTGTCCGCGGCCTACTTAATAATTAATATAAGACAATAAATACAACTTACGGCGTGCACCGCCTAACACGAGCTTGATACGGTTCTCTCGTTCGTTTATATAGTCTAGTGTACGCGCGATTTCGCGCGATCCGCGTGATCGAGCGAGACGCTGGAACGATTACTAAAAATGAAGGAAAATAGATACATAAAATTGCACATCTAAACGGGAACGGGGGAACGTGGGAGGGAAAAAGGGATCCAAGGGAACTTACGAGTGAAAGAAGATCTGGAACTATGTACTGTCCGGGGTCTATTTACATCGACGACGACGACGCCATATTGGAGCAGTGTATGGTGTCGGTCAACTTGATTGT